CAACGGGTCGAATAGTGTAATACCTGAACCCGACCCGTTTATAAGCGGTTATTAAAATATCTGCTACCCGCAACCCACAGATAATAAATATCTGCGGGTACCAACTATCCATTGCGGATTTTATCCGCGAATATTTGCAAGCGCGGATTTTTTTACCATCCCTAGTCTGCACGCTTTGGTGTGAGCTCAATCTACGTAATGAGGAGCTCTGTTTGCACAACAATGAGGTCGATTTGTACAATTAGGAGGTTGATCTCCATAGTAATAACTTGGGTTGCACAATAAGGAGCTCGATCTACACAATGGGAAGTTCGGTCTACAAGTGGAGAGTTCAGCCTGCATAGTAAGGAGATTAGCCAACATAATGAGAAGCCCGATCTACATAGTGGGAGGATGGTCTGCACTATGGGGAGCTCGATCTAAACAGTGGGGGAGGTCAGTCTGAAGAATGGGGAGGTTGGTCTAACTAGTGGACCTATTACTAAGGTTGTGGCCAGGAAGATACAAGCAACCAAGTTCCTGACTGACATGTCGGGCTCCATATTAAGACAAGATCGTTTATAAGACTAAATTGTCTAAACGTTCTCATATGTTTTGAAGTTTAACAAAAAAAACATTAAACGAAATGAGTATGTGATAGTGTTATCATTAGAATAACAACATAGGTAAACTATAATTAATTTGTGAAAATGCTTTAAGAAACCTAAATACCTTAGGAAAAGCATTAGTAAAACACATAAGTACGAACATACACACCTCTAAACAGTTTCCCTAATTAATGTGTAAATGAGAGTCTTATTGAATGCAATAAATGTTGTATATCGCTAGGTGATGATCAAACAAACTCCCAATGGGTCTTGTTATATAAAAGTGTCAAAATATGTTTTTGGAAAACATGATAAAAGTCTCAAAGGATATTCCAAAAACTTGTGTCGAAAAACTCCTTGCTCAACGCATTTATTGAATATAATAGAGAAAAACTTAAAGAAGTGTTTACATAGGCTGGACAATACCATGTGTCAAACGATCTACTTCATTCAATGGTGAAGTCTTCATAAATTACTTGGTCTCTTAGTGAAAAGCTTAAATGATCAAATCCTACTTGAACGATAGAAAATGTAAAAAACACTTTGTTGTTGTGAACATATATTAAATCTTATTAAATGCTCAACTTTTATAAACACAAAAGTGATAAGAGAAACGACATATTTGTTGCATGCATATCTACTCTGCTTTATGCAGATTTCTTATTACATGCATCCCCCTATTCCATCCTATACCAATCAAAAGTAGACGTTAGGAACAAAGAAGATATTCAATGAAAGTTCTCTTCATAAAAAATCATGGCAAAAAATCGTACTGCTTACTTGCGTCAAAGTACTAAAAAAATAAAGTTATTCTGACAAGTTGACTTTAACCAACAATTGCTACATACAACAAGACTAAAAAGACTCAAAGATCTAGGCAAAGTTATGTCTAAAGAATATCTTTTTGAGAAGCCTTTCAGTAGAATATCATTCAAAGAGAGAATAAAGAGAATAACACATAGAAAGAAAAAGCTCAAGCAAACAACGTCGAGAGAAAAGCTAAAAAGGCACACAAACTCAAAAGAGAATATCTGAGAGAGAAAAGCTCAAGAAAACATCTTTAAGACTTTAATGTCCAATATGAGGCCAACATCATATAAGGAGACGTTAAATTAATGTCAGCCTATAATGGTCAACTTTACTTAACATCGAACCCATATAACACTCGATGTCAATGTGTTCAAGAAAAAGGACAATTGGGAATCATAATAATAGTGTTGTTATCAAGGAATATGTTGACATCGCACTATACTATGGTTCGACGTCAACTTGGTCAAGGGAAGGGGCAGTTGGAGAGCATTAATTAAAATGTTGTTACCATCAAAGCGTTGACGTTGAACTATACCTTGGTTTGACGTCTAATATTCGTTTATAAAATAAGATTTTCGTACTTACTTTAGTTCAAAATTGTTTCCCTATTGAACATATTAAGATTCGTTCTCATGTTTTCATGGATATTTTTCTTTCCTTTAGATTTCAGAGCATTTGTCTTCTTCAAATAGTTTGTTCTAATACAATTTAAAAGTTTATCATATTTAGATGATTATTTTATAAATTTTCTTGAAGTTGTTTTTTCATGATGAGATTGTAGAGCAAATGATTTCTTTTTATGAATCACACTATAACTTTGATGTCACACATTGGTAGTGGATGACGTCCATATACAAAATGACGTCAAATACTCACTTAATTTGATGTCAAATACCTTCGAGGATTTAAAAAAGAAATTCATTATTACAAATCATATGGTAACAAATGAAAACCAAACCAAAAGAAATCCACTATAACAAAACATAGGCTTAAAAATGAAAACCAAACCAGCAAAATAACGAAAGGTTATGTAAAATGGAGAAGGTTTTTTGAAATCCATATCTATTAACTTTTTGCTCTAGATTTCTATCATACCTTAGTTTCACGAAAACTATTTATAATAATGATGAATCAACAACAAAGAAATGTCTTGCTTTTGTGAACTTGGGAGTTAATAGAAATTCAAAGACAAAAAGTTAACAAAATGATTGTTGGCTATGAAAGCTCTATAGGGAAGCAAAAGATTGGTGAAAGGATTTGTAGGATTTTCAAAGGATTCAAAAACTCTTTTGAAAGTGAAACTGTGGGGAATATAATGAGCGTTTCATATATATTTATTTTGGTATGGACGGCTGGTGTTGCCTAAGTGGACGTTATATGTTTACTGACGGTACAATTTAACGTCATTTGGGTGCATGGTCAGGCATCATTTATTTATTAACGTCGGATGGGAGGCCTAATAGACGTCTAGCTTATTGCATTGATTTACAACAATGTCACCGGACATTTTTAACGTTGGTTTGTTCGTTTCCTGTTGTTGAACGTTAGATGTTGTAGCCTTATTTTGTACTAGTGACTTTTAAGCTTCATTTATATATAAGCTTACTTTTGTAAGAAGAGAGAAGAGAGAAAATATTCAATGAGTCTGTCAGATTGAATTGTATTGATCAGATATCCTCTTTGAAATCTAAGGACTTTTAACCAATCTTTTGATTGTAAATTTTGAAGAGAATTAAAAGACTTTACGTTTAACTTTGAGGAGTTAAACAATAGCTAGACAAGTATGTCTAATGGAAACCAAGAGTGAGTGAAACTCTGACATTTAATTTGGTGAAGTTAAACGGTAGCAAAACGGGATTGTGTAATGGAAACCAAAAAAGGGTGAAACTCAATTAGACAATGTATCGGGAAGATACCAGGTAGGGATGACAACGAACGGGTCAGGTCAGACACGGATAATGCCTACTCGCAACCCAACCCGCTAGATAAAATTGTACCTGTTATCCGACCAGCTATCCGCGCGGGTACCCATTTAAAAAATACCTGTGCGTATCCGCGGATACCTGCAAAAAATACATTCCAAAATCCCAAACGATTTTTCTAACAATGCTCTTTGCTCTAACTCACTCCATAATCTTCTGTAACAACATCTGCTTCCTTATAACAACACACATTATATGATCATTACACAAACATAAACAAGTAAGATTGAGCTAATCAAATAAAACACAGGATGAAATATATCAAAGCTGCACTCATTCACATTACTCAAACCATCCATTTCAATTCATAAGAACATGCCATATTCATGGAATTTCCAAACCATCAAGTAGTATTCAATCAATGCCTTTTTCTTTCCATGACATACCGACATCCTACCTGTTTCCGTAAGTCTTATAAGTATATTATGCTTAAGTTCAAAGCCTTACGGATAAACCTCTCTCTACTTACTTCCATGTGTCTTACAAGTATACTATGCTTAAGACCAAAGCCTTATGATTAAGATCTGTTCCCCTTACTTTCATAAGCATTATGAATATTTTGCTTAAGTCCAAAGCCTTACGGTGAAACCACTATCTGCTTGCTTCCATAAGTCTCACAAGTTACTCTACTTAACACCAAAGCCTTATGAAGGAAACCAATAAACCATTCTTCCTCTTTCCTTGGCTTACGAAAGTCCTTATGACAAAAAGAAAAACAATCCCGACTTTATAGTTATGGCAACAAAAGACATATAACAACCAAACTCACATCTCTTAACGAATCATATCATATCAACCATTCAACTCAATAATACTCATTAATCATCCAATATCTAGCATGAAACTAGATCATACAACTCGAAAATCAATCACAACAACTCAACCAACATGCACAGAGCAAGGAAAACCACAAAAGCATTACTCGACATCACACACAACAACTCAACACATATACAACTCGGGAACTGCAAGCAACAACTCAGTTGGGGTCCGAAAACCCTAGGTCGACCTTAAAAACACCCTATAACAAGCTCCAGAACACAAAAACCGAGGTCCCAAAGAATCTATACAAAATAGCCCAAATAACCTAACTTGGCTAAACAATTTGGTCAACTTACAAAGAGTTTGACAATCACAACCCAACAGCTCGGCCAAGGTATGACATAGCTTGGTCAATGTCAGATACAACTCGACCAAGGTCTGATAAAGCTCGAACTAGGTCTAATATAACTCGATAAAGTCTGACACAACTCGACCAGGGTTTGATACATCCTGACAGTCTATCATGAACCAATTTTCATGTAAAAAAATAAAAAATTTCACCTCGGTTTCATGTGACATTAGACTTTCAGACCTTAATCAAGTTGTGTTAGACTTACATCGGACTATATCAGAAGTTGATCGAGTTGTGTTAAATCTAAGTCAGACTTTTTATTCAAGCTTTATTAGACTTTAGTCTAAGTGTACCAAATTTGACCAAACTCATTATTTTAGCTTGAATTAGGATGACCGATTATTGAATGTTTAAAGAGGTGATGGACTCTCACCTTTCAATTATATCAAAAAAGAAAATACATAACTTCTTAATTTGAAGTGGTGTGTACTTGTGCCTATTTTCGTAAATATTCGTAATTTATGCCCCCATGCCTTGATCGGTAAGAAAACCCTAAAACTCAAAAGTTTGGTCAGCAGCCTCGTAACTGAAGCCGAACCCTGGTCTATGCGGCGGTTCTGCGGAGAGTGTACCGCAATAAAGCTACCATTGTTAGGGTTTTCGTTTTTCTGCGAAAATGACAAAATTCAGGAAGCTGGGTCGACCCACAGGTCACCGTATGTCCATGCTCAGGTTAATTAGTTTGTTAGTTAACACTTTCAATTCAGCTCATTCTTTGAGTTATTGGTTTGGAAAGATGTTGAGTCCTGTCTGACTTTCCTTTATATAGAACCATGGTTTCCCAGTTGGTGAAACACGAGCGTATCGAAACTACTGTGGCCAAGGTACCACTTCAAGCGACATCATTTACCACTTTCTTCAATCTCACATTTTATTCCATGTAATTTGGTTGCGTTCAGGCCAAAGAGATCAGACGACTAGCGGATAATATGGTTCAGCTTGGAAAGGAGGTTTGTGTGCTATTCTTCATCCATTATTTCTGATTCATTTTGGGTTCGGTTAATTTAATTTGCGCTGTAATTTTAGCTTTTGGTTTATCTGTCTTCGAACATTACTTTAAAAACTGGGATGAATCTATTAAGGGGGTTGGTTGATGCGTGGAATTTGTAAATAGGTGTTCTTACCTCCAAATGCATTTCGAAATTTATTGGAGGTTTATATTTTCTATAATGGAAACTGTTGATATTTCACCAAGTGGCTTTTTATTTTTAGGCCAAGTTATGTTGTCTCAGTTTTTCATGTTTGCATCTTTTCCACCTCAATCAGGGCATATGGCAAGTTGGGGTTTGGGGGAGGAATTTTGTATTGTGAACTGTGAAGTGAATTTATCCCTATATGATGATACACGTAAGACATAATCATTTTCTCTCTTCTTTGTAAGAATTATGGGTCATTCTATGGTGGGGAATTTTTAACCTTCCCTATGTTGAGATTGTGACTTTCCAGCCTATTAGAGGTTATATTTAGTTACTGAAATTCATCTGTTCACCCCAGAAAATTGATCATTGCAGACCAAAATACCTGAAGCTCCCGTTTCTCGAGTTACATATGTATCATATTCACCACTGGTTATGAATATCTTTAATAAACTATGAATGAAAAACCTGCTGCTCCTGTTCCATAATTTCTTCATGCCTTGGTAACTCTTTTGCTATCTTCGTCTTTGTTTTACTATTTCTCCGTCCAAAAACAAATTCATACCATTTCATGATTTCTTAGGTAGTAATAACATGCTTCGGTATCACTGGATCTTTTTAACTCTGTTTGAAAGCACTCCATACTTTTTGTGGGAAGCGTTATAACTTTGATTTGCAATAAAATGATGCATTATTATTCCTCTATTTTTTTCATTTTACTTTCCTCTTTTCTCATTGCTCCACAAGATGATGATTAGTTTTGAATTAGTAGTCCAAGGACAACACATAAATGTTAACTTGTGTTTATATCTTTGAAATTTTTATTTAAAATGACTGCTAGCTTATTTCTACTTGTGAAACTTATCCTAGGCAAAGACTTTCAGCCCTCCTGTATCCAATTTTGATCCCAGTAAAAAGTGTAAGGATAGTTTGATCCATAGAAGGAGAAATATAATTACTTGAAACTTGAAAAGAGTATGAAACAATGTGTGGAACCTAATGATGGGCTGCAAACTCCTGTTGCAACTAACTCCTTTCCGAAGTTTGTTAAGACTCTTTTACACTGCTTTTATGGGACTTTAGATTATAATTGTTAAGAATTGGCAACTGTATGTAACTGAATGTGAATTAAGGTGAGGAATGACCATTCTGCATCTTCAAAACTACACGATATTGCAGAGGATTGTTAGAAACTGTATATTTTACCAAAAACAGTTTTGAATTAGAATTAATAGAGATTAGAACTATTTGTGGCATGGTAGTTGAATCACGAATCGTATCACGTATTGAAGAGTTTAAATTTTGAATCAGAAATTGTATCGTGTTGTGAATAGTAATATTCATAAACATTAAAAAATGTAACATATACTTCAATATATAAGATATAGAAATATGCAAAGAAACAATTAATAACATATAACTTCAATAACATATACATCATTTCCCATGTTAGATATTATTGTTCCCATGGATTGTGCTTTGTTATTTATGCAGTTCCCTAGAAACAGATAAATGTTGTCAATTTATTTATATATTTTGGCCTTGAGAATAAACTCTTTATCAGGGTCATCATTTGAATTTTTTCATTTAGCTTGATTGCTGGCTTTGGCCTAGAGTTTATATTATAAATTGTTTTAGGGATCTCAATGTGCTGCAAGACGTGCTGCTAGTTTTGTACGAGGAGATGATGTCCTTCACAAGCTGTTTACAGAACTGGCTTATCGGTACAAGTAAGGAATAAACTAGATATAGTTTCAGTTGTCATTTATGGTAGTTTGTTTTAACACTGACTGGAGATTATGTTGTGCAGGGATAGAGCTGGAGGATACACCAGATTGCTGCGGACCCGAATTCGAGTGGGTGATGCTGCACCAATGGCCTATATTGAGTGAGTACATTTTGATATTCTAGTTTTACACTCATTTTACGTTTATTTGGGTGGCCCCACTTAATTTCACTGAAGAAGTGTTTATTTGCTCATTGTTCTTGCTGTTGCCTGTCTGCCATAAGGTGTTGTCATAGTTCAATCCTTTAAATCTTCCAAGGTGCTTAAGAATTACGAGGTTGAGAATGAAACTTTATATTCAAAACATTGTATGCTTTAAAACAGGTTTATTGACAGAGAAAATGAGCTTAGGCAGGCAAAGCCACCAACTCCTCAGCCGCCACAGAGAGCACCCCTGGACCCCTGGACACGTTCTCATCTCAGTAGGCAATTTGCTCCTCCTAAAGAGGAAAAATCTGGATCTGATTTGTGATTCTATCGAAAGCAATGCGGATACTGTGCTTTTCCCTCCATAGCATGGGATATCTGAATTTTTGTCTTGCTTATTTAATCTATCTTCAAATGGTTTGAAAAAAAAAGTATTCTCTTACTACTAGAGAAAATGTTCATCGCTATGTAAAAATAATTCAACTGAATCTATAATTGACCAAAGAAAAGGAAAATCTCAGAACACATTTATCTTTCTGAAGTTTGATGCCTTAGTTTGATTATATTTTTAGTTGAAACTTGATAGCTTTATTGTAATCTCAGAAAGAATGAATTTTTATTCTGCCTTACAGGGGAAAAAAAGGTTTAATGAATCGACTTGTCCTTGAAAACTCAAGAAAAATCTGATCTCCATCTCTTTCGGTATCTTGAACCTAAATCAATAATCAATAACTTGTTACGCAACCTCGTGATCCCCCTTTATTTTTTGAAAAGGATCATTGCAAGTGCATTCCAATGTTGTACATCCGAATAGTTGAAATTTTACGTTGAAAATCCTACCGCAGATGTTTTGCTCTGTTTACTTATGGAGTTTCCATAAAATCCTAACAGGGTGCTAATGTGATTACAATTACCCTTAGAGCTTACATACACTTAACTTAATTTTCTTTTTTTCTAAAATATACAAATAATGTAGAAGTGTATTAGGTCCTTATTTTTGGACCTTGTATTTATAGACCAAGTTCCATATGTCAGGTTGGCTATGCCAATTGAGTTCTCTTTGTTACGAGTTGAGTTTTCCTTGCTTTTAGTCGGGTTTTCATGCTTTCAACTGGTCTTTTCTATTTTTTGTTGGACTTACCTGCTTATAGTTAGGCTCCCTTGTTTCAAGTCCGGTTCTTTAGTTTGTAGTTGAGCTTTCATGCTTTCACCTGGGTTCCTCTGATTATAGTCGAACACCTTAGCTTTTAGTTGAGCTCTCATGTGACTAGTCAAACTCCCGTGTGTTTAGTCGAGCTTTCATTCGAAGCACTTATGTTAATCTGTCGAGCTCCTTTATTTCATCTCAACTCTTATACCTTCATCCTAACTCCATCCTGATTGTTAGGCTGCTGATAATGATGGTTAGGTTGTTGTGCTCTATACTAAATGTCGAGCTTTGTACAAGAGACCAACCTTTCTTCAAGAACACCTCATGTTTAGCACATTTCGCATGAGGGTAAAAGCATACAAAGCGTGTGGTGCCACTTGTCCACTAATCCATGATTCATGATGTGAAGATAGGACATGTGCTAGAAATCAGTTAATCGAGACTTGGAGGTCTCTTTTCCTATAAATAGAGACCTCTATCACTGTACACTTGGACTCTGAATTCCTTAATGGAAACTATGTTGAGATCACTTCAGACATTTTCATTTCTTGAGAGTCCTTAGCTGGAGATTCTCGATAGCTTCCTCTAGCCCCCTTTCCTTGACTCTGAATTCCTGTCTACATTAGTGAAATTGTCTTTAGGTCTTCTTTTCAAGGTTTAGTGAATTGAATTCATATGTCACAACCAAGGCAAGACAAGATGATGAGTCCAAGCCATGGAAAATAGGTTGGTGACACAACCTATGCTTAATATGTTCCGGATCATGCTTTGAGGATGATGACAACCTCCTTAGCTAGGTTGGGCCAAAACTAGGAAATGTGCATGGAGGGGTGTTTCCTTGGATGGATGGTGCATAAAAGTGGTGGTAAATGGTCCAAGGATGTTTAGCTAAATTGTGGATGGTGTAGAAGCTCACAACCTCTAGGAGATACCGTGGTGATGATGTAGTGTTTGGTGGCTCCAAAAGAAGTGAGGCCAACTCAAGGAGGAAGGTGACTAGAGGGATCTCTAATGTTTCTCTAGTTTTGATCTAAGAAGTGTATGACCATAATTTGGCAGCATAACACTACATTAATCTAAGATGAAATACAAGGGTGGAGACACCTCTATTTATAGGCTAAGAGTGTCTCCTTTTAACCCTAAAAATATGATTTCCCATCTTTGCTCTCATTGGCAAAAAATGAGGCCATCTAAGGAGTGGTCAATTGTCCACAAATCCTCTCAAATGATGGGAGGACATGTGGTTACTCATAAAATACAATCCTCTTCATTCCTAGAGTTCCATGTGGTCACTAGCAAAAAGAAATCCTCTCCCCTCCTAGGGTGCCGTGTGGCCACTTCTAAAAAGCAAATCATTTCAGATGGAAGCATGACACATGACACACATTTTTCACTTGGTTTGGATGTCTAACTTAAGGAAAATCCTATGCTACTTAGGCCTTAATACAAGCCTTAAACCTACACTACATGACCGAATACAATGACCTAGATATCCTACACTACTCTTCAATCCATGCTCTATGATGGTTCTAAAGGTGGCCCACGAGGTAGAGTTGATGTCATCTTCATGGATGACTTTCACTCTCTTGAAAGTTCTTGACCATGGTTAGGGGATTTGCCATCAGAGGATATCATGGGAATCCACTCACGATCCTTGAACAACCTTTAATGTAGTTCCTTGTCGCTTACCCAATAGTTCAGGTCAAACCTTCCATGTAGTTCCATACCATCTACCAGACCGTCCAAGTCAAACCTTTCATGTTGTTCCTTACCACCTCTCTGGTGGTCTAAGTCAAACCTTTTATGCAGTTTCCTACCGCCTCCTCAAGTTACAAGTGCTATGGACATGGAGAAAAAGGTCATGTCAAGGTGGATTGTCCTAAAAACAAAAAAAGTAAGGAAAAGAAGGAAAATAAGTTTCACAAAAAGAAGAAAGTGTACAATGCTTGGGAGGAAAATGACTCAAGCTCGTCTAGTTCAAGCGACTCCAATGAAGAAGTTAACTTTTGCTTAATGGAAAATCTTGATGACACTACAAGCCAAGTAAGTTGTTCTAGCTTTGAAACTAGTGAGATTGATTTACAAAAAGCTTTCTTGAATTGCTAAATGAATTTGAGAAATTGGATGCTACAAATGAAAAATTAAAAAGTGAATTTCATGATTTGCAAATTAAGTATGAAAAAGCTTTAGATGAAGAAGTAATTTTGAGAAATAAAATTTGCAATTTAGAAATGAAAGAGTCTACCATTGTTGAGAATCTTATGCTGGAACAATCGGTACCGATATTGCGCAGCGAAAATATTAAAACTCAGAGTACGATACAAATTGTTAAAAGTAAAGAGCTTGTTCGGTCAATTTTAAAAATGGTTCTTTTGATTTTCTCTTAAACATTTTATCAAACAGTTGATGTGCAAAAAATGTACAGAGTGCAGGGAGTAGAAAAAATCACACAGATGATTTTTATCCTGGTTCGAATCAAAAGATTCTACATCCAATTGTTAAACACTATAAAGAGTGATTAACGGTTTCACTCAAACAGTTTTACAGATACAAAATAGTGAATGTAAATAGAAAATCAAAACCTTCCTTCGACGAACGAATTGGAAGGAAACTTCCTTCAACAAACGAACCAGAAGCGAGCAACCAACACTTTCCTTCAACAGACGAACTGAAAGAGTGCAACAAGTATCTTCCTTCGACCAACGAACCGAAAGAAAACAACTCTGCCAACTTAAAGAGAACTGCTCCGACCTTTGACACACAAAGCGCGAGCTTCTCCTATTCACAATACTTGACAAGAGTGATGAACTAACACTTGAGAACTTCACCAGATCACACTATATTCTCAAATGACTTAGATGAACCCTCTAAGGGTTTTAGACAACTATATATAGCCCACAGGTCTGAAATTAAAAAGACAATACAACTGCCACTAATAATCGATTATTGTAAGTAATAATCAATTATTCAAGTCCATTACAGGGTTTTCAAAAGAATGATAATCGATTATCCTAAGGAATAATCGATTATCTGCGAGACTTGAGCAATTCACATGTAGACCAGGATAATCGATTATTTCACGCAATAATCGATTTTTTGCGAGAACAATGGTTTTTCAAAAAGGCTCGTGATAATCGATGATTACAGAAAATTCCTAAGTGTTTATATGTTCAAAGTTATTCCTAATACATTTTCAGTCTACAAAAGAGCTTAAATAAATTACAACTTCATTCTTCGAGTTCTTCTCTTGCAGCATCATCAAAATCATTATCTTTTAAAAATACTAATGCACCTTATTGGTAACAATCTCCCCCTTTTTGATGATGATAAAAAATAATTTGTTTAAAAGTAACTTTGTGTTATCTGCAAAAAAAATTCAAACTCACAAACAAAGAAACAAGTTAGCAGTAACTGCACTATGAATTTGTTCTTCTCCTCCTTTTTTATCAGAAACAAAAAGACTAATCATCTCTCCCTCAAAAGGGTCTCCCTCTCTTTAAAACAATGTATGCACTATATTTGAACAAAAGAGCATTTTATTTAATTGTAGAGAAAATGGCATTCGTAACATAAGGAAGTACATAAATATTTAGAAGCATCTTACCAATTTAAAACAAAACAAACAAGCAACCAAACAAACACAAGACCTAAAGTCTAAAATTCTGGACTGGGTGATTTTTTTGGAGGATGAAGATTGAGATGATTTTCAATGTTTCCAAGATGGGTGTCAAAGTCGTTAAACCTCCAGTTGTTTGGACAAATTGAAAAAATATTCTTCCATGGATAGGGTGGAAGATGAAGGCATTTGGGAAGGACCAACATTAGAAGGAGCAGCAACTCTGACTGGTTCAACCATGTGAGCGTCCATATCATCATCTTCATTATCTTGGTGATCGTCATCCTTGTGAATGATCACACGCCCACGGGCAACAAAACCCGTTTGACGAAACGTTGTCTCCCCAATTTCAGTGCCAATTGCTCGGATGGGTTGGGTGAGCTCTCCTTCCACATTTACTCCTTTGTATTCAAGAATTCTAGAAATGAGGAATGCATAAGGAAGATGATATGCATGATACTTTTTATCCTTCAGCATAGTGTCTGAGATGAGTGTAGGCCAATCAATATGTATGTGATTTAAAATCCCATACAGAAAAAGAATATTCTGCTCAGAACACTGAGCATGATTTGTGGCACGGGGGCACAAAAGCCACACAATCAGATAATGAATTAAGCATTCTTCAACTTTGAAGCCGCCCACCAGTAATTGACGATGATTTGTTTGCTGTTCAAGATGATGGAGAAAGGATTGGAAGGCAAGGAGGCGGTTGAAATCTGGCACCCCAAGATGAACTTTCACAACATCATCCCAAATGGTGAGCTGTGCAACATTT